TTTAACAGTCATCGATATTGCCATCACTTTATTGTTGTTATATTAATCCATGTTTCTCAATTAACCATCTTCTAATCTACAGCGAAAAAGCTTCACTTTAGAATTCAACAAGAAAATTACGCATGGCTTGAAATACAATTAATGGACAGTAACGTTACAGAACTCGTAAGTTATTTTTTCCTATTGAGTTATTAGGTTTTCGCGATTGTTACACATAGGAAATGAAACTATTTTTCCAGATTTAAATCGCGTATATTTGTTTTTCCAAACAATCCAACGTTTCGGGCCCTTTACAGGTCCTGTTCGGGATAATTCCTGGTTCTAATATGGACAGACGTTAAGCCAGGCCGCAGCCTTTGCTCCGTTATTAAAACACTTACTGAATTGGGAAATAATTTCCATATATTTTAAAAGTATTTAAAACAAAAACATTTCTTCAAATAAAACAAAAGTAAAACGTACACCCAGCAGTGGGTGAAATCAAGCTGTGGATGATGATGGAGAATACATATCTGATGCAGCCAAAGGTGTAGATCATGAAAGAAAACCAAAAAATGTTTTACCAAGGTTTCGCGACAAGGCCCATGGTCACGGTTGACTAGTTTTTCCTTTTCATTTAGGCACAAACAGTCATCAATAGTAATTTTCGGACATTCATTAGATTAAACATCTAGATATTTCAAAGCGAGCCTAGATTTTAGGAAGTGAGTTCACGTTCGTATCCGGCAACCCGCGCGCTGTAAATTAATAAGATTAAAATGAAGTAAGGATACTGGTGAAATTACAGGCACATGGGACTCATTAACTTATGTTTCAGGGTGACGGCACAGCCAATGGGTGGCAGTGCCTCGGATCTTTGTGATGCGACACCTTAGTAGCAGCAGCAGAGTACGTCCTGGGAAATACTGCCACATTACCTACTTCTGCTGTCAAGCAGTAATGTCAGCATTACTGTGTTCCGGTTTTGAAGGGTCAGAGTGCTGGTGAAATTACAGACACTTGTCAACTTATGTCTTAAGGTCACGGGTGCAGTGGCAGTGCCCCTAAGATCTTTACGATTTAACGCTCTGAGTAGCATTGCAACTGTTATGGACAGGCGTGTCGCTTACTTGGTATCATAAAAAAAAACATTAATCAATTCCCGTTGTTTGTTACCGGTAAATAGCGAAGAGCCACTCAACGTTGTTTACCAGCCCTTGCCACTACAGAGTATGGAGTACTTCTTGAGTTTTTGCTATCTATTGTTCTCGTTCTCACGTTGTTCTTAAGGGTAGTTTACACATGCTAAGATTTAATATTGATGATGTTAGAATTATGTTGAATATTTTTTTTATCATGAAATAAGTGCGTATTTCACCTCCAACTCACCTGATTGAAAGTGACGATGGTCGACACACATACACACACAGACACACACGACACACACGACACACGACACACACTCAGTTTGGTGTAATCACAAATTACACCACGGTGATAGGGTCATCGGGGAGATCGCTTGCACGTTTGATACAGACCTAAAAAGTATCAGATAGTGCAACAAAATCTCAAAAGTTTATTTTTGGTATATTACTAAGTTTCGTAAGGAGTCTTGGAAGAAGTTATTGTTTATAATTTTAGTAACACATAATAGTCCTATGAGGCTATTAGTATTTTTAAAAAACCCTGTATATTACAAAAGTAATTTATACTCTTGGTTTGGAAAAAATCTTAAGTATGTAACCTGTATCACAAACTGAATACTGACTGATTAAGTCAGTCAGTCAGTAAGGAAATTTTTCATCTCCTAGGACAATAACCGCGCTGCGATCGGGTAACCTATGACATTAAGTTCTAGGCTACCGTAAAATCGCATCCTCAAATGTAATAAAGCTACATCTGCAAAATGATAACTTTTCAGGAGAGAGGTTTAGAGATTTTCGAACGAAATTGGTCGATAAGTTTTTATGTTATTTTAATTATACTAATTTGAACATTTTAGGTATTTTTTTCGTCTGGATCTTTTAAATACGGGTGTGATTTCGGCAAGGAGAGCACAGAGCGCACCTGGACTTATAGTGAGGCTTGCAACGGTTGTATTTTTATGTTTTACGTAATAAGTTATGTTTTATGTAATAGGTTGGATAAATTGTGCATCTTTTTTTATATATAATACCTAACAAGTGACAGGACGAATAAATAGCTTGATGGTAAGCTACACATCTGTCCAAAACAGTTGCAGTGCCACTCAGAGCTTTAAGCCGCAAAGGTCTGAGGGACACTGTAATTGCATCAATCACCGAGACATAAGTTGACAAGTCTCATGTGCCTGTAATTTCACCAGCACCCTTACCCTTCAAAACCGGAACGCGGCAATGTGAGCATTACTGCTTGTCGGCAGAAATAGATAAGGTGCCAACACTTCCCTGGACACATTCTATATTTCGTAGATTTCTTACAGGAAAAACAAAGATCTGCAACAAGCACATACAAAAATTCGTAAGGTCCGTTAGTTCCTTCAGTGGCTTAGTAGGCATAGCGTCTGGCACGGTTTGCTAGAAGACGTTCGTTCGAATCCAGCCGGATCGAATTAATTTTTCTCAGCGTTCGACCTTTGTATTAATGGGGCTACGTAGTGTAGACACGACATGTTCACAGAGGCGTACACAAGATGGCTTTCATGCCATTATTCGCAAGAGGGCTGCCTTACTCATGAAGTATATGCGGGCGGCGCTAATAGCATCCTAGCTGTTGTTGCCAACAGGCTGGACTGCCCCCACCTACAACATTGGGTGCAACTACACGTGTGTAGGGTAGTGGTCTAGACGTGGCACTTCTCTAGCATTAAATTATCTAAGTATGTCATTCCATAGCATCCGTAACACCGAAAGTCGCCCACCTCGAATTTGACGTGCCTCAAAAAAGATATAACCAGTTGTGTAACTAACTGTGCGCAAAAGCAATACATGCTAGTTTTAGTAATATATATTCGATTTAGAAATATAAACGTGTATATTGTTACAAAAATCCAGATGGCTATGAGCGTTTAGAAACGATAACCGATTATTCGCGAGCGAGCACACTACACCTGTTCTCTCCAATACAGGAGATGTAAAATGCCACATCTGCAAAATGACAACTTCTCAGTAGAGTTAACGTTTCTAGTATAACAATTTTTAACCGACTTTAAAAAAGGAGGAGGTTATCATTTCGACTGCATTTTTTTGCATGTATGTTACACGATAACTCTATATTTTATATGTATGTGAACCGATTTTGATGATGCTTTTTTGTTGGTAAGACGGTAGCTCAGTATTGGTTCCATTTAAATTTGAAGAAAATAAGTCCTTCAAGAGGCGCAAACTAGGAGATGAATCCGGTTTCGCGCACTTTCCTTCCGGTCACCTTCATCGAAATACTCATGGTAAATTTCAAGGACTCCTTGAATTTTTTGCGTGCTCTTTTCTAAATGTTCGGAAACCAGTATGTGCAAATAACCACACCCTGATAGGTTCCGTCCGAACACACTCCACGAGCGAATGATGTACATCCTCAAGAATCCCACACATTTCGCAATTCGGTGAGTTCACTCTACGCGTCGAAGCTTATAGCTGACAATTTGACCCCTGCTTAACTTAACATGGTCAAACAAAGGACACGAGGAAGATCACTTTGCATGGTCTTGTACCAGATTCCTTTTTCCTGGGACCTCATATCGAAATATTCCTTCCAACGAGAATGGCACTTCAGAGAAGCGTTGAGTCCACCAGGATCCCCCAGCCCAATCCCCCAGGGGATCTTTGTGAATTCAGCAGTTCATTAGAATCTCCTAAGTTAAATTATGTAAAGTTGCAATCGCATTGCGACAATAAATAATTACTTATTGTACCGATCGGGTGATCGGGTTGTCTTGTCGTTTTCATAGATAACCTTTTTTGAACTTAGGTAACAACAATGTCATCAATAAAATGACATTAGTGTAGAAATTAATGGCTGTCCATGGACCTTTGCTTTTCCGCAAAAATGAAATTGCAAATGATAAATTCATCCAAGAATTACAGCTGGATTTATGGAATAATGATATAACTATAGGACAGTTTTTTATTAGATTTTAGAGACGTTAGATATAGTTAGGTAAAGGATAGTATTAATTTAACGCAATAATGATATAACTATAGGACAGTTTTTAGATATAGTTAGGTTAATGATAGTATTAATTTAACGCAGCTTAGTTAGTATTACAACTAGCCACAGTTCGCTGCAATTTCATTTGTTTTTCGGCTTTTTTTCACCCGTTTTTCATCTTTATTATTTCCCTTTAAGAAATATAGATAAGAGTATGTTGTTTATTTATTTATTTTTTTGGTAAACTTATGTTGTTTTAAGGTAGGTACTGTAAGCTTGGACCTAGCTCGTGTTGTGTAGCGAGAGGTACTTTTATAAATATAAACTGGGATAATCTTCAAAACTTGGTTTATTGTACTTTTTTACATATTTTCTTAATGAGGTTACATCTTGAACTCTCAAGCTGTTCTATTCTTTCTAAAGTCCTATTTTAAAAACACATTCTAAATATAAAACTATATTCACTAACTATATTCAGCCAGTAATTCAACTCATAGAGTAGAGCCTAGACTACAGTACCATAGTGTGAATGAAGCTTGTCGTTATGTATCCGCGTTCGGGGGATTCTGATGACTTGGGCTAGGTGATCCTAGTAGACGAAACGCAGAGAAGTCAGGCACAATGTCAACCTCAGGCCCCTCTGAAGCAGCCGCAGTGGCTTACCGCTCCGCTTCCTCATTCCCTAGCAAGCCAATATGTGACAGCATCCATTGCAACGTCAAGCGTCTCCCACTAGTCGTAACATTATTTATTTGTTGTAACGTGCCCTTTATAAACGTTTGCAATCACATTACCATTCGTCACCAAGTAACACGATCAATGTAAAGTGTACAAGGTGCTCAAATGAAGTGGACCGATTACGATGGTGATAATAATTGTTTTTGCTTTAATAACCGCGTGTCGAGGAGACTTGTGGAGGACAGTGTGAGGAGCCGCCGCTGCCAGGATGGTCGGAGCTCTACTTTGTGAGTTTTTTAATTCATCATTTATTTAGTTAACACATTCTTTTCCATAAAGATGCAGCTTGTTTTAAAATTTATGAATGTGAAATTTATGAAAAAAAATGTGTGTGTTGGCTGAAAACCCGTAATTATCAGGAAGTTGAGACACTTTTACACTGCATAAAAAAAGCCTAATGGAAGATCATACGCAAACTCTTTCTTTAATACACCTTAATTAAAAATAAATAAAAGAATTATGATAATTAAAAAATAATAATAATAAAATTAAAATTAAATAAAAATTAATCCTGAACTACACGGTCACATTATATTAACTTAAAATACATGGCATTGAATTGAATGGTATATAACAACACGACCAGAACGCTAGGTAATAAATTTATCACTTATTTATGTGTATGTATACACATATATTTTGTAAATCTAAAGTAGGAAAGGAATAAAAATTATTATCATAAAATTATTATTATTATTATTGTTACATTTCTATTACCACATTCCTTCCTAATTGTTAATAAATTGTTTTTTATGTAATTTGTTTGTATAAAAACCTTAGGAACAATTGGACAGTAGGTAGGAAAACAATATCATGTTGTAAATTTCTAATAATAAAATTTATAACTGTCGCGAAACACTTGTATCAGATATATTGCAATAAAATCAGATGTTACAACATAAAAATGTTCAACATATTTTGCCAAAAAGCGGCATACAAATATTAAGTATGCGTAATAACTTTCTTAAAAAAAACTTATCTATCGAGTTCTTAGGTTTTCGCGATTGTTACACATAGGAAATGAAACTATTTTTCCGGATTTAAATCGCGTATATTTGTTTTTTCAAACAAACCGACGTTTCGGGCCCTTTACAGGTCCCATGGTCACGGTTGACTAACTTATCTCCAAAGTTTGTAGAATTACATCTCTTGCCAAGTTTCATTGATATCGGTAAACGAAAAGTTAGTCAAATCCAATAAACCGGATTCCTCCCCTAATTTGCGACCCTTAGAGGTGAAATATTTTCTTCAAAGTTGCATGGTAGCATTATTGATCGACTACCGGGATCTATTGCGTACCAGAGCCCCCCAGCACCAGATAGGTGCTACGCCCTTCCGTTCCTCACGACGAAGTGGGTCACACAGTTGCCAGGTTTAGGTTTAGGACACTTGATATCACAAAAAAAAAACTCGTGCTACAACAAAATATCTTATTTATCTTAGCATACTAGCCGGGGTTGTTGCTGACGATTTTAAACATGACCGGATGCTGATGCGGGTGCTGATTTTAAAATGTACCCATGTACATGAAAAACCTATCTATTTTCTTTATTAACTGCCTCCGTGGCCGAACGGTTACCATACCGGACTGCCACGCAGAGGTCCCCGGGTTCGATTCCCGGGCCGGGAGAAATATTTGTATGGCCTACATTTATTTCTCTCGTGAGTTTGGGTGTAATTTGTGGTTGTCTATGTGTGTGTCCATGGCACCCGCGACACAGGGTTTCCCTAGTGCGGGGCTATGTTGAGTGTGTGC